ATAAGGAGTGGGGATAGAGGATAAGGGATATGGAACAGGAGATGGAGGATAGGGAATAAGGAATGGGATAGGGATGGGGAATGGGGATGGAGAACAGTGATGGGGGTAAGGAATGGGGATAGCGGATAAGGAGTGGGGATGGGGAATGGGGGATGTGGAACAGGATGGGGGATAGGGAATAGGGGATATGAAACGGGATGGGGAATGGGATAAGGGATAGAGAAAGGGAAATGGGGATGGAGAATGGTGATAGGGGATAAGGAATATGGGGTGGGGAATGGGGCATAGGAGACAGGGATAAGGAATAGGGGGTAGGGAGTGGGGTACAGGGGATAGGGGTTAAGGGGATGGGGCATAGGGGATAATGAGTGGGGTTAGAGAATGGAGATAAGGAATTGGAATGGGGGGTGGGGGTTAAGGAATAGGGGATGGGGAATGGGGGATAAGGAGTGGGGATGGGATGGAGAATGGTGATAGGGGTTAAGGAATAGGGGATAGAGAGTGAAGGATAGAGGGAATAGAGAATAAGGGATAGGAGACAGGGATAGGGAACAGGGGATGGGGAGTGGGGAATGGGATAGGAGTTAAGGGATAGTGAGTGGGGGATAGGAAATGGGAAATAGGGGATAAGGGATAAGGAATAGGGATGGGGGTTTGGGAGTGAGGGGATAGGAGATAAAGGATAGGGATAAGAAGTAGGGGATAGGGAATGGAGAACGGGGAGTAGGAGATGAGGAACAGGGGATAGAGGATAAGGAATGGGGGATAGGAGATAGGGAATGGTCTCCTGTGGAGATGTTCAAGTCCCATCTGGATGGCCGGTGTGCAGCCTGTTGTGGGGCACCTGCTGTAGCAGGGGGTTGGGCTCAATGATCTCTTGAGGTCTCTTCCAACCCTTGCAATTCTGTGAATAAGGGATGGGGGATAGGGAGTGTGGGATAAGGAATGGGGGGTGGGGGTCAGGGAATAAGGAGTAGGGGATAAGGAGTGAGGGGCAGGGGATGGGGAATGGGGGGATAGGGCTGCCACTGCATGCATGTGAATGATGGGCTGTGGGGGAATGCAGGGCCACGGGGGGCTGCCTGGAGGGAGGGCTGGTGCCCTGTGGGGGCTGGCAGCAAACCCACGGGTTCACAGAGCAGAGTGCGAGGAGGAAATGGCCGTGTGCTGAGGGTGAGGTCTGTAGGTGAGCGACTGCAGGAGCATCCGATCGGCTCCCAGCCGTTCCTCCGGGGCAGAGAGCGATGCTGGAGCCCCAGTGGAGGTGCTGGTGGTGGTTCTGTAGGGGCACCATCCCCACGTGTGTGTCTGTGTCTGTTCTGCTGCTGGAACGCTGCCCTGCTTCCAACAGGGGTGGGAAACAGGAAAGTGAATCTGAGGGTTGATGTTCGCTCAGGGTCTGCGGCGAGGCGCAGGTGGAGGCTGAGGTGCATCAGTGTGGCAAAGCAAACACGAAGCTTGGTGTTGGCTCGGCGAGGGCCCGACCTCGGGGTGTGTTGGTGCACAGAGGGTGCTGCAGGGCGGGCGTTGCTTTGGGTGCTGAGCTGGGCGTTCTGGAGGCTCGGGGTCAGTTCTTATGGCGGAGGACGGCCTGGCGCTGCCACGCTTCCTTAAAGCAGTTGTTTCAAAATAGGTTGGAGCTATAGGCTGATCTGGGTTAAGATGATCCCACTGGATCTAAAGATCACACTTCAGAAAAGAAATGGAAGATGCTCAAGAAACCTTTATATGTATATATATATATATGTATCTTTTCTTTTCCTGAAGCAACGCTTGCAAACCAACCAACCAACCAAAACCTCCCCAAGGCAGCAGGGGGGTGTTGCTCCCCCAGTAACAACAGGGTTTACAGCGTGGTTGGGGGGGGGTGAAGCTTTGTGGGGTTTGCTTTCAGTGGGTGCAGCTCTGCACATCGCCCACCTCGCGCTGTTGCGCTCTGTCTCCATTAAGGAGATCTGCTCGCGTGGATTTCTGCTGTCTTGGGGTGAGGTTGGAGGTCTTCCATGCGCTGATATCATGGAGAGGGCTTTCCCCACACCATTTGAGAAGGCTTTGGATATGGGAGGAGTTGCAGAAGCAGTGATGGTTTTTCTTCTCGATGGCAGCTGTTGGATCCTATCGCAGCGAGGAATCACACTGCTGTTCAGTGCTTCACCCAGCAACGAGAGGTTTTCATTTCAACGTGTTGCACGTTGCTCATCGTTGGCCTTCTTGTTTTATTACTGGGGTGGCGATGGGGGGAGAAAACACCATACAGAAATCGTCCTGGCATCGCTCAGCATTGAGCACTGGGGTAACGCTGGTTGGATTTACCTGGGGGGTCCCTGGGGGGCACTGGTGATGGATGGGGAGCCGTGCTGCTCCCACGTGTTGGCAGGAGGCGCGTTGAGTTCAGCTCCTTGCTTTGTGCTCTGCCATCCCAAAAGGGTTTTTCTGCCCTCATGCGATGCAGGAGGCGGCGCCGCTGGGAGCTGGTGACGTTTTTCTGTGATGCTCTGCGTTATTGATGGCCCACACAAAAGCAGGAGGCAGCTTTAAAAACCAAAACCAACCCCCCCCCCCCCCACAAAAAAAAAACCCCCAAAACCAACAAAAAACCCCACGTAATAACATTAAGGCAGGCAGTGATGGAGCAGCAGGAAGGCTCTGCATGCCGGCAGCCCGGCTCTGCAGCAGGTGAACACCGCTGAGGTTTGCTTCATGTTTTCACTATCAGAATGCTTTTCCTTTCCTCCCTTCTGGTCGCTGCGGTGAGAGGCGAGGAAGTCTTTCTCACCACAGCACACCTAACCACAGAATATTTCGGTTTCCAGTTCCTCCCCCCCTTCTCCTCTGTTTGCTTTCTGTTTGAGATGGAGCCGCCGCTGCTGCACGGTGTTTGTGATGTTAATTTCCAACAAAAAACCAACACACAACTCGGTCTGTTGGTGGAGATGGGGGAGAGTTCGCCTGTTTATTTTAAACACTCCGCTTCTATTTATAAGCTGGCTGCTTTTTATTTGGGCTTATTTATTTGTTTGCCTTCTTAGCCTGGTGCTGGGAGAGTGAGTAATTGGGGATGTGTTGGTGATCGGTGGCTGCAGTGGGTGAAACGTGCTTTGGTGCAGCCAGCTCTGCTTGGGCTGGGGTGAGAGCGAGGGCTGTGCTGGTATCTGTGTGCATTTGCAGCTGGAGATCCAAAGGGTGGCTTGCTTAATGAGGTGGCTGTTAATTGGGGGGCAGTTAAAGAAGCTGTCTCTTTGGATTTGGCATCCTGCATGGGATGGCTGCTTTTGGAAGGTGGATGTTGGTGCTGCCGCTGCTCCGTGCCTTTGGCTTCGTGCTCAGGCTGTGGGATGCAGCCCGTGCAGCACAGCCAGGTGTTTGTTACCTGTGTGTCCCTTCCCCCAAGCACACGGTGTCTGTGTGGGGTGGAACTCACTGGGCACTTCCCATAACACCCAGTGAGCAAAACAAGCTTGCATCAGGACTCACGGTGCTTCACCTGCTGACGTTTTTTTCCTTTCAACTTCCCAATGTCTTCTTATGTAAGCTGTTGGCTTTCCTGACTTCACCAGTGGGGACACAAACATGGGAGTGCTTGGAGCTGCCCTGCGGCTGCAGGAGGTGTGCAACCAGGGGCTGCAGCCACTGCTGCTGTGCTGCCCTCCCGTCTGCTCTGAGGACCTGGCACGAAAATGTGTGCAATAAGGAACCAGCAGGCTGCTGGGGAGCTGGGCAGAGCGCTGCTGTGAGCAACATCTGACTTTGTTCTCCCTGTCAGGCTCTGGTTTTAACTCTGTCTTATCCAAAGGCTGCAAGAGGTTTCTTGGGTGCTGGGGAGGCAGGATGCAGGCCCTGAATGCAAATCCCAGAGCGCAGCCCCAGAATTGCAGTCTCAGAGTACAGATTGCAAAACCCAGAGTACAATCCTGGAGTGCAGAATGCAATCGAAGAAGTGCAGTTTGCAG